TCATCCTGAAGTCTAAAACTCAGACTAAATATAAAATGGCTGTCAAAAATCACATCATGGGCGGCTATGCTACAGGTTTATTGATGCATTATCACTGAACCACTGGACTGTCAGTTTGCTCATAAAATGATAGTTTGCTCACGAAGGGTCAAATAAAAAGGCTATTGTAAGGATATTTTTCGTAAAAACTTCCCAATGTCATTGTGCTCATTTATAAAACCTGACTGTCCTTTATTTACGTAACTTGTTAAACATAAGAATTACATCTTCATAAGTATATTACCACTTTGTCTTGGCTCTCTTGTCCCACCGACAACACCATTTTGAAATAGTTATTTAATAAATTATATTATAATATACTTTTCATTGAATTATGATATAATATATCAATTGATATTAAACATTCTATATTTATGAATTACAACACCTAGTGTATTTATAAATTTTAATAATTAATAAATAATTTATCTCTATCTACATTTTTTTTCACATGAAAGTTAACAATTCAATTTGTATGGAGAGCCATTTCATTCAAAATTAAATAAAAACACTGCTATAAATTTTAATTAAATATTTCATCAAATAAATAAATCTCCCCCAAAAAATAAATAAATATGTTAAAATAATTTTTGATTTGATTTTATTATATTCAAACATTTTTATTGATTCAAATATTTATGAATTTATTTATTTCAAAATGGACTTTTATTTTGTAACACTTTTATTTTGTAAAGCTACTTTACCTATTCAGTGGATTTTATTTTGTATCTCCATTTTTCATTTTAAGCTCCATCTTATTTCATGTCCTTCGAGAGAAGTGAAACAGGAACTAGCTTGCAAGATATTGAACGGCAGAAGAAGTAAAGAATTGATGCCAATTATGTGGCAGCATTTTGCAGAATGCTTCTGATCTTTCTAGATTCTAGATTCATCATCATCTTACTGAGATACTAATGTCACTCAACTTTGCTCGATCTGTCTGGAAGGTGGGATCCTATGCTGCTTCCGGGAGCTAACTTTTTCTGCTTTAGATTTCTACAGAAATATAATTTTAAAGTTCAAATTTTTACTTTAATTTTCAAAATATTGTATATGGTGCATAGTCTACAGAGAGAAACAACTAAATAGCAGATAAGAAAGGTGTAATCCTTGTTGACTGCTCTGAGTTTTCCAGATGATGACGTCAGACAAGCAGTTTTAACAGAGAGAATGAAAAAAGAATCGAATTGGCTCTGAATTGTCATTGTAGTTAAGTATTGTTTGGTCATTTAAGGATAGAAATAAGTACTTAAGTACTGTAATGAGAATATTTATGGTGACCTGGATGATATCTGACAGCACATGCGTAAATCAGCTGATGGTACAGATCGGTTAGTTACAGGACCAAAGAGAGCTCAGCAAGAGGGAATACTCTGATTTGATTGGTCACCATGAATGGAGTACTTCAGTTTCTGCAAAATTAGATGCACTCCACCAATCCTAACCAGCGACTCCCAACAGATAAAACTCCTTATTTTAATATAAGAACATGAAATAAAAGGAGCTTGAAATAAAAAATTTAGTAAAAAAACTAAAAGTAGCAATATTATCAGTAGCAGTATCAATAGCAGTATTAATGTATTTAATTTTGAATGAAATGGATCTTCATAGGACCGAGCAGAGACAGAGTTCCTAAATTAGGACATCAAACGTAATGGACAGAAATACATACATGAAAACAAGATCCACTCAAACTGAGTATCAGAGAGATTTGTTTGCCAAATTAGTTTGAAATGGCAAAGTTTCAACCATTGCTTTGTATGTAACCTGGTTTACTTTGTTGTCATGCCAGTATTAACATGTAATTTGCATATAAATTTGTGTGGGAAACCATTGCTACAATGACAGGATATGCAAATATAAACTTCAAGACTCTAAAGCAGCAGTCCGCCGGACAGGAGTTGACCTTAGGTATCCTTGTCAGGCAAAAGTGAAAGCATCTGAAGTTGTCTGGTAGTCGTCTTAACTCTACTGAGCTAGTTGCAAAGCAACAAAGTAAACCTACATAAATCATATTACTGTTCAAATCATAATAATCAATTAAAAACCATTAATCTTAAAGAAATGAAAAGTTTTATAACGTTTTATTTTTTACTTCTGTGTATATTCTGAGCCAAATCTGCACAGAAATTATGTTTTTTTTTTTTATTATGACTAGAAAGATTCTTGATCTATCATGTTATCTACCTTGCTGGTTATAGAGTAAATCTTTAACTTTAAAGAGAATTCTGTGGAGCACTTGACAAGAAAAAGACAATGGACCCAGTTCTGGTCATGCAATTAATAATTCACAAGTCAGCCAGTTAGAAATTTTTTACTGGCACTTTACCATTAGTACAGACCTGGACAAACGATACCATTGATTTATAAACCTCTCACTTTACAAGAAAGGCATCGTTTTTTAAGATACTTGAATATTATAAACTCTGTTTTCCAGGATAACTGAAGAACTGTGCTTGTGTTAAAGTCTGTTAAATAGTGGTGGGCTGTGAAAGCCTTCAATTCTGGCCTAAAATTAATCAGAAACCCTAACCTACATTCATAACCAAAGCTTTAATTTTGTTCTATCCCACTCTATTAATTTATTCCAACCAATCAGTTCCCTTAAGTTTGTAGCATTGCTGTTGGTTGCGCTGCTTCCATTACATTAATGTGGTTGCAATATTTTTTTTGTCCAATCAGATTTCAGCCTTAGTTCATTAAATCTGCCAATCAAATCTGCCCAGGGCCTTCAGAATGAGCAGAGCTGGCTGGTGTTACCTCAACTATATTAGTGAGGAACAATTTTTTCAACTAACCAGATTAAAGATTTGCCCCACAGGCCAGCTAGCGGGCCTACCAGGACAGCAGCATTTTCTATCCTCTGATTTGTCAGTTAAAACAAAATGTCTACAGCTAAGTTAAATTAGCGACAATCTGCCTTTTAGATCCAGTTTTACTAAAGGAAAAATCTGGTCACATTCAGAATAGAAACTTCTTAAAGTATTTTAAGTATGAAATTATTACATACTTTTCAATAAATCATAAGTGTTTTTATTTAAGAGTAATTTCAGTTCAATGTTCTATACCGGAGGCATCCATGTTTGTCAATGAACACTACTGCCACCTACTGGTTTGTGACGTCACGGTGCGGTATCAGCTGTTGATCAAGTCCCAGTGCTGTATCTGGTGTTTGTCACAACGCGCTATTATCCATAATGGTGCACCATGAGAAGCAGAGAGTAATTGTTTAAGTACGTTTTTTTCTCTGACCAGAAGTTTGATGGCAAATCCTCCCTGTTCAAGTTGGCAATCCAACGACGAACCCGTCCGTCAGGATCATGAATCTAAAAGAAGAAATAACTTTTTTTTTTCACTTTTACCCGAAGTATTCCAACATCCAACTGTTATGCACGTGGGCATTGTCAGTTTAACTATAGCTCTGGTGAATTTCAATGGTGAAGTCCTCTGGAAATCTTTAATAATTGTTGTTGATTGCAGATGTGTCTAGTAGTTCCCATTGATTTTGCTTGTAAAGTGGAGAGAATGACGCTAGGCTTACCGCACCGTGACGCCACTGCCGGAAAATGTGAGGAGTGAGGTGTTACTATATTTGGGCAAAAATGGCCGCTCCTGGACTCGATGATCAAGGCAAAAAAATATTGTCTTTATTTGTTAACTGATTAACGCTAAATAATAAGCACAAACATATATTATAACCCATTGGTTATTCTTTGCAGACCGCACTTTTTCTTTAAAAGATTAAAACATTTCACATTTGAATACTATCGGTGGTTTCATTTATTAAACTGTGAAAGTGGTGATATTAACTCCCTGACACCCATTTTTGCAAATATGTAACAAACCCTTTGTATTACCAAGTAAGCATTTGCATTCCCTCCAAAAAAAAAAAAAAAAAAAATTATATATATATATATATATATATATATATATATATATATATATATATATATATATATATATATATATATATTTACTAAAGAGAAATCTAGTGACTTCTCTGTTTTTCTAGAGTGCAGCGACTTCACATGAAAGCAACAACCGTTCTGCTATTACTCACTCTTTTGCTGCTTCCATAAGTGCATGTGCAAAACTGGCAATATTACACAATGGATTAAAAAGCAGGATATAAATATAAAAAAATATATAGAGCAGTTTTTAATCAAGTCCTTTTTTTACTGAAACTTTTTACATCACTTATTGACACAGTAATTGAGAACATAGGGACCCATTTTCATCATTCTGCTTCACTCTACTGTTCTACCATTCAGAGCATTCTATGCTCTCTCTACCTTTTCTCATCATAGTAGCTTCAACTAGTCTGTTCCTGTTTGGCTGTGACTCCACCCCTGAGAGAAATATAAGCTTGTGCAGCTGCCTTCAACTCCTTTGTTTATAGATGTTGGAGCTTTGCCTGTTTTTTTTTTTGTTTTTGTTTTTTTTTGTTTCTTTGTTTTTACAGCCTAGTCCTGTTTCTTTCATCCTCTGACATGGCAGCTGGCTCGGAGTTTATCTGTCTGGTGTCTTCCTGTTAAAAGGGAGTTTTTTGTCTCCACTTTCGCTACAAGCATGCTCGGTGTGAGGGATTGCTTTCGAGTCAATGAGTCGATGCAATTAACTAATCTGACTGGATGATCTGGTTGAATTGTCCCTATAAAGTGCCTTGAGAAATAAACTGAAACTGGATTGAATTAATGCGTTTTCATCCAACTTTTTGATAAAAGAGAAAACATGCAGAGTGGATTCAGGCAATTTACATATAAAAATTCATACATTATTTCATAAAACGAGGTTGAGATATATTGCATTGCAACAACAATTTAACGAAAGTGATTTATTTAAGCATTATAGTTTTGTTTCATATATGGATAACCCTTCCAGGGTTAGCCCACCACCGCAGTTAAAAAACAAAGTGTATATAAATGGTGTATATAAAAGTTTATATAAATGAAATGAAGCGTATACAAATTAAATTGAATTACTTTGAAAGGCCCATGCCCATATTGAACATGTAAACTTCTCAAAGAAGCCCAACGCATTCATTATTTAGGACAACTCCTTTGAAGGTGAAATGTTTTCCATTATCCAGACTTCTAAAATCTTTGGTTGTACATAGAAATAGAAATAGAGGTTCTTAAACTTTAAGTGAACAAGGCCAGTACCAATACATTCTAAGGGGTTTGAGCATTTTCAATACTGTATGCAAATTTTGTATTTTTCAATTGCATCTTTATTTATGCAGGTAAATCACGTGAGATCTAATGTTTTAGGTGTGCCTAATTTAAATATAGATCTTATCGTCCTTTATAAAATGTAACCGTACCATTTTTAGCTAGTTGTTGTATGACTGCATACTCATGTTGACCAGGATGTGGTCCAGTTTTAAACTGTTTGATGGGCAATATTTCAAAGTAATGGCTCCAGTTTCCATCGTCATCTGCTCCATAACCAAATACATGGACCTAGAGAAACAAAAAAGGACGTTTTTGGGGTTAGTTTAGTAAGGAAAACCTGCTGCCACAAATCTACTTCTAATTTTTTTTTAAACTGCCAAAATGCCAATGATATAAAAACAATTCAATCGTTTTGCTACTCTTCCTGTTGGAAAAGGGTTCTGAGAAAAGTTTAATAATTCACCCACAACGATTATAGAGAAATACAAATATTGTCTTAGCCTGTCAGTGACATCAAAATATTCTATAATGGACTTAAGGATGAATACTGGCATTGTTCCTTACAAACTTTAACCCTTTAAAGCCAGATTCAAGAATAAAACAAAACAGAAAATTACTTTTTTTTTGGTTTGAAGTCCTTATTTGCCCTTTTAACAAAATATGTAAAAAGAAAAAACAGAAATACATTTTTGATATTAATAATTTATTACTATGCGATAAGTCAAGATTATTTTTTGTGTAGTCTTCTACTGGCTGTTATCAGGTATATCTGATTGTGTACAATAGGATTTTTTTAAGTTTTTACCATTAAATTATGCAAAAGGTGTCAGATGGAAAACATTTCAGAAACCGTACGTATCAAATACGATACATTTGGCATTATAGGGTTAGAGAAACTTTTTAAATTCTTCTTGGATGATGCTTGGCAGCTTAACATTTCAGTCATTGCCACAAATTTACTGTTGAACTAAGGTCTAAAAAAAACGGCTAGGTCACCCCCGATTTCCTTAATTTCCTTTCATAGCTTTCTTTGCTTGGTGGTATGATTTGTTCACATAATTCAGGTCTATTGTTCTGCCTAAAGGAAAATTATGATAATCAAGACTTTGCAGTGCAGACACCTGGGCCCCTAAATACATAGAAATAATCATGTAGAAACAGACGACTCTAAAACATATGGCATAGTGCTTCAAGTTTATATTAAAGAGCTCTACTTTTGTTGTAGGAATTGCAATGTCTATCACCATTCAATAAAAGCTTTTGCTGTAATTGAAGTTAATATATCTATTATTTTTGAGCTACCACAAAGTTCTGAGTTACTACCTGGGATGTCCATATCGATTGTTTGCTGTACTGATGTTGTGCATTGCAGTTACACTTTACAGGAAAGAGTTTTGGGAACAGCCACTGTTTAGGAACTTCAAATCCCATTGTCTGACTTCGTTTTACTGCCTATTCATTTTTTTTTTGCACACTTTTTAAGTTAAAATTACATAAATGTATTACGTAAGCTGTTAAATAATGATATTTAATGAATCATTGCATTCTTTCTTGAGTGATTGATATGGCTGTATCACAAGGGCACATAGTTAATCTATACAAGCAAGGTTTGCCAACCGTCCCTTGAAAAACTGAATCATTCAGTATTTAGAAATTGAAGTACTCCTCACTGCAGCAAGGGCTCAGAGGAAATAGAAGTGGAAAAAGTAGACTTTCACAATATTATGTGGCATTGAGCTAATGATTTTTTTCTTGTTTACAACTGTAGCCTACAGTCATTGCATTTAAGGCACAGATGTGTTCACAAGTTTGCACAAGTTTGTTGTTGCACCAAAAAAGTGCACTATTTATTTATTGTTTTATTTACATTTTTACAGTTTGAAGTTTAGTAGGACAGCCTTATGTTTAAGATACTTACTGCTCTAATTCAATGCAGATTTGAGTCAAATAGTTAAAAAAATATAATTTTACACACAAAGGGGGGCTTAAAAAAATCACCACGACAAGAGGGGTCAAGGCAATTGGGTCATCTGGCACGCACATGAGGTGTCCCTTTTTTTTTTTTTTTCAGGGAGCTGGCAACCCTATTACAAGCCCAAGTTATAGTGGCTCTAGGTACTACCTGACTTGTAATTTTTTGCTTTATTTTCAAGCCTGTGTTTTTTTTTTTCAGTTAGTATGTCCTTCTAAAATAAAATTATTTAGGATTTAAATTATTAATATTCTTTAAATCTCTTCAATCTTGCTAAATCAGCAGAGGCTAAAAAAAATCATTCCTCTAATTTAATCATTGACTTGCCCTACCAATGCTAAAATGCTGGTTACGCTGGAGAAGATAAGAAACAATAATTTCGAAGCAGCACTGTGTAACTTTTAGCCACAGGTTTGGCACTCCTGTACTCCTGTAGAACATTTTCTATACTTAGTTATATATTACATTTCAGACCCCTCTAGCACTCTTTGTTTTCAACAAAGTGACTAGTGACAAATCTAGCGACTGTTCTGTTTCCTGTGACTATTTGGAGAAAACGTGAAAACACTGATTTCTCTGAGCTTACTGCCTTCAGCAAGCAGCAAGTGCTGCTTTAAGCCCCTCCCACCTCCAAAGCAGTGACATTTGGACAGTCTTAGTAGCTTCATTGTGTAGCAGTAAACTGTGCTGTTAGAGTATAAAGGAGATACTCCACTCTGTTACCCTGTTAAAAACAAGATGCATGCTCCAAGATTCCACTGATCGTCTATTCTACATCTGAAATGCAGGATGACGCTATGATAAATATATAATTTTGAACTAGGCTGCTCAGTGGAGCAGTGGGTAGTACTGTTGCCTTGCAGCGAGAAGGTTCCAGGTTTAATTCCGTGCCTGGGGTCTTTGTGCATAGAGTTTGCATGTTCTCCCAGAGCATGCGTGGGTTCTCTCCGGGTACTCCGGCTTCCTCCCACAGTCCAAAAACATAATTGTTTGGTTAATTGGCTACGCTAAATTCACCTGATGTGTGAGTGTGTGCATGAATGGTTGTTTTCCTATTTGTCTCTGCGATAGACTGGCAATCTGTCCAGGGTGTACCCCGCCTCTTGCCCGTAGCCAGCTGGGGGGCACCAGCACCCCTCATGAACCCTCTCGGAATAAGTGTGACGGAAAATGGATGGATGGATAATTTTAAACTAATTCAAATACCATATTTGGGTGGGTTTATTTTTTGTTTTTTTAAACTTGTACCCTTTCTATGTATTTGATTCACACATAGCGTCAGTCTCTTCACCTAACACACTGCACTGTAACGATATTAAACAATCTCCCTCTGCATTCTTAAAACTTACATCAGACCACTTTTGAGCAGCAGATTGAGAAGCCATGGAGTTTCCTTTAAATTCAAGGTCACATTCACCCCTCTAGATTACATCCTATATCAAATAACCACAGTATGTCTGGTTAGTGAAGTGTCATGTGAGTTTTCTTGCCTAACAACATATTTTAGTTTAGTTAGCTCTTGTTTTTAGTCTTTAGATGAGAATGCGTTAAAGAGGAGCTTTAAACGACTAATGCTAACCTCTGAAGTTACATTGGGGAGTTTCACCAATAATTAGATTAAACTGTACATCTTCAAGGAAACGAGCCAAAATGTTCTTACCTCATCACAAATTTGAAGTGCAAGGATCAAAGCCATGAAGCCGGTGGAGGGATAGTCTCCTTTATTTTCCAGCCAAATCTGATGGACATATTTCATAAAGGCTGGATTGATCACCATCACCTTTAATTAATTTGAAAGGTTTAAATTTAACGAGTTCTTTTCACAAGCAAAAATAAAAGCGTGTTAGACAATTTACTCACCAAGTCTCTGTTTGCTTTTATTTTGGTTTTTAACGGTGCATATGATCTGTTAAGACAAGATGACACAACTTAAATAATTTTAATAGCAAAAGAAACATTGTGGAACTTAAGTTCCCGAGCATGTTTAGCACAGAGGCTATGTTGTGATTTTATGTTCAATTCAATTCCCAGCCAGCTGGGAGTTTATATTTCTGATACTTCAAGATGTCTATTGCCCTGCCCGGTAGGGGTGGTAAAATATCTTATTTAATCAGATATTATTTCGGCTGTCACACAGCCCTATTAGCTGTGTGTTAGAACAATAGATGAAAGAGTGATTCAAGCACTAATCATGGTCACACAGGTAATTCTGCACATACATGGAACAAATACACCACAACTTCTGTTCAAAATATGAGTTTATTAAGAAAAATCATTCAGAACCAAGTCAAACATATTTCAGTTTAATACTCTCATCTAAGACTAGAAAAAACTAAACTAAACTAAACCACAATGTAGAAAGAAGAAGGGTAACATGGTTGAAAGCCATATTACAGTTTAAGATGGATTTTTGTGTTTGAAACCAAAGTTTATCTGGAGGAATTTGGGATATGATCAAATTAGCTTTCACTAATATAGAGAAATTGGAAAGTTTTCAGACTGATTCACACTGCAAATCCATGAGGTGAATAAAACATTATTTGGCCAAATAATGTTTTATTAAGTTACTTGCTTAATCAAGAACCAGTAAACTATAGTCTACAGAGCAAAAATGACTCTTGGTCATACTTTAGGGTGACCATATTTTCATTTGGGAAAACCAGGACACCTTGGAGCAGGGGAGGGGGGGGATTCTAATAGATCTGCAGGGTGGGAACTATAAATCTGATAGGAGTTTAATTTTTTTATTGTTGTTTTGCACAATATGCTTAACTATGTATTTTTTGTTGTTGAATATTAGAGATTTTGCAGATATATTTTGTACATACATTGTTTAGATTTACTTATATATTTGTAACCCTTTTATAGAATAGAATAGAAAATTCCTTTATTGTCCCACAATGGGCAAATTTACAGCAGCAGAAAGATTATTGAAAATGGTCACACAAATGAGGACCTTAGAAAAATGTATAAGAATAACATAATAGGGAAGAGTTAAGATATAAACAATAAAATTCTGTAAAGTGCTTTAACAATATAAAACTGGAGAATTAATAACCAATATGCAGCTATGGACATTTTTACAGTAATGGATATTTGAAAATAGCAGCAACATCAGAGATGTGCAGAATGACAGCAGCATGTTATTTAACTGACTAAGGTTTCTATCATTACATTTGATTTTATTTGTTCCTGCTCCCGGTGGTTGGAATCTTTATTCCACTCTGGATTCTTGTGAGTGTAGTCTTTGTTCACTTTAACTTTTAAGAAAATAAATAAATAAATAAACAAAAACTTTTGAAAACCTCGGCATTCATTCTTCTCCTGCTTTGTGTGTCAACTTATACGGTTGCTAAGCAACAGAGCATACGGCGGTAAAACCCGCCGAAGGGTGGACCTGTTCGAATTTACAGCCAAAACTCTTCTGGCCTCCTTATTTTCAAGGACTTCGAAGGATCCAGTCTAGGTAGACCGCGTCCTTGGAGGACCCGTCCTAGGTTTTCGAACAGAGCCTCTGATTAAGAACAGGGCTGCCCGCACTGACGCGGCTCAGGGATTACGTCACACGGAGCGTCGTGCGCAGTGAAATCAGGACATTTCCTCACTTTCTAAAAAAAACCCGGGACGCCCGGGACAGGACGTGAAATACGGATATGTCCCGGGAAATACGGACGTTTGGTCACCCTATCATACTTTGTAATGGAAATGTCATGAGCATTTGAGGAACACATGAACACTAATGTTACATCAGTGTTTAAACCCTTTTGTGAAATAAAGCTTGTCCAAACTTCAGCAACAGCTCAACAGATATTCCTGTAGCATAGCGTAGCATGCAGTCCATTCTGTTAGCGCTGTCTTTATTCATCAGTAAACACATGTTGTTTGTTCTTTCCCTAATAATGCCAGATCTGAAAACCTTTTTTCTGTGTCCAGTTGGAAAACTTGAGTTTCATCCAGCTGCATCTCAGCAGTCAGGGCAGGGGTTCTTTGTCTCAGTCATTCATCAAGACAGGGTAGGTCTTCTCTCCTGTCTGGCTCTATAAGTTCTGAAACTCCAAAGAAATGTTTTGCAAAAGGTCTGTCCTGCAGTAGTTTGGTTCTGAAAGGTTCTCTCAATGACCCATCCTTAATGATTCTGGAGATTTGGGTCCCCTTGAGCCTTGGTTCTCCACCACAGTCTGGGCCGAAGCCAAGCTTCATGGGCGAGGGAGAGGAGGCAAAGAACGCAGGAGACAAAGAGAGAGAATCTGGTTTTCTCTGTGGTTTTGTTCTGTCCTCACACAGAGGGGAGTGGGAAGTCACACCTCTGTGGGTGGCCTTGTGACTGGCCTGTGTAGGCCTCGGCTGAAAAGTTGGGGGTTGCAGAGATTCCTCAGCTGATTCCACATCATCATTACAAGATGAAATATGGATACTGGTTCCCAATGTCCAAAAAGTATGACCATGGCATATGGCACAACAGCTATTAACTGTGTCTTGCAGCATGAGTAGTGAGTGTGATAAATGGCACATTCATGGCATAGAAACAAACCAGAGCTAAAGACCTTCCCATCTCCTTTGTTTGGAAGAAAATATAGAGCATTTTTTTTGTTTTTTACAATTTAAGATGGGGAAAGACAATGGGACAAATCCAAAGCTGTGTGTTGAGGTTGTTTCACAAAGATATGCAAAATGTAACCAACCTAATTTGTCAGCGCACCTAAAATCATCATCATCCCAATGTCAACATCTCCTGTATAAGGAAAAAAACAGCTTGGTGCAAAGACTGATAACTGCTGCATTTAAACAAATTTTAGCAGTCATTTAAAACTGAGCCAAAGTAATAACATAAGCTATAGCTTGTCTGTGCAAATCCCATAAAACAGGATAGGCATTTCATCGTGTGGTTGGTACAGGGTTAAAGACCAATTCACCTGTATGTGTCACTGGTTTATTGACTGCTATGTTTTAATGACTGTACATTTAACATTTTTGCTTCACAAATCCCTAGCAAATTGTCATCTTTGTTTTCCAGATTAAATCAATGCAGTGCAAGTCCTGCAAGTTCAGCCACACCGTTGAAAGCTGTTCTGCTGAAACATTATCAAGGTTCAACCTGGCCTTGCATCCACAGGGACTGCTGTTGCACCTTTAAAACTTTTAGTGCTCCTTCAGTTAATCCATAAGTTAACTGATACTTTTGGGTCTGGAATGTTTGACCTCTGAAAGGTTCCTTCTGCTCAGCCAATCCATGTTAATTTTCTCTTCTTGTTACTCTTTTTTGGGTTTTCCTTAAATATGTTACGTGTTACGGTTTAGTGTTTGTAAAATGGCACATAGTATTGAGCAGTGTTACAAAAGGATGTGCTAAACAATGTAGCACATGTTGACTGGGACAGTTGGGTCTCATTAGTTTGCATTTACCTAGCCCTGTTGGAAGGGCTTTGATCCTGGTACAGGTTAAATAAAACAAAAGTTTTGACTGTATATTAGTGACTGACACGGGAGTGGATTTTCACTCCTGTCCCGTCCCATTCCCACAGAAAAAAATTGTGTCCCGTTCCGATCCCGGGCCAGAGTAGAAATCTAAATCCTGTTCCGTCCCACTCCTGGTGAAATTACTCCCACTCCCATCCCACTCCCATTTAGAATGACTCCCGCTCCTGCATCACTCCCATTCTTGTTGTCTTCAATAAGATTTCTACCAATACATTGAATCTGAATTTCTATGAAGGGTCAATCAAGTCCCTGTTTCTAACTGTAGTAACTGTTGGTCCCTCCATTGTTGTTTTTGAGCACGGGTGAAAAACTCAGAGTGGAAGCACTGTTGGTTTTTGGGTCGTGTAGTTTTTTTGACTCGCATTATAGTGTAGGCTTCAAGGAAAAAAACTACAGTTCTGGATTTTTTTTCTTTCTATTTCATTTTATTTTTTGGCATCGATCCTATATTTCTTTTAGTTACCATTGGTTTGCTCCCGCTCCCGTCTGCTGCTGTTAATGTTTAATCCTGTACCGTCCCAATCACATGATCGTTACTAATACTGACTCCCATTCCACGGGAATCCCACGGGAATCCCGTGACCCGTGGGATTCCCGAAAAAATGTCAGTGTATGTGTTGCACCTGTTATAATTTATACAAATCATATGTTAGTACAACTTATGGGATAGATAGTAGATTAAGGAATTTGAAGTTATTACAATGTCAAATTCAAATTTAGTACAACTTTAGTACAACTAGAGAGTTAGTAGAATAAAGAATTTTAAGTTATTACAATGTAAAATTAGAAGTTACCTCAACTTACAGTTGAGTTCACAAAAAATTTAATTCAGAGTTGAGCAAACTCAAAAGCAAAATTAAAGATATTTAGTTTAATTGGCCAACTTAAAATTTTATGGAAGTTTGTTGCCTTGAAATTTCGAGTTCATCCAACTTTTTTTTTTTTTTTTTTGTATAGCTACAGATCCATGTCTGTATTTTGTTGTTTATGCATTGGCTTTGAACATGCAATTAAAATTTTGAGCCATGCTATGACGTCCATTCACATGAACACCAAAAAGTTTTACCAGCACTTTATGAAAAGCCTGGAACTGATGTCTTCAAGGAACTACAGAGTGTGGCCGCTGTGTTGGGCAAAACAGATGGATAGACTTTGTGAGCAACAGAGAGCTATTTGGCTCTAACTGTACACCATATTATGCTACTAAAGGAGATGGTGAGTGACGTTTTGCAAACAAAGATCCTTTATGATAAGCACCTACCACTGTAATGAAAATTAGCTCGTTTGTTGATTTAGCTGACATGGTGTTATTCTTCCAAGGTTCACATTTCATCCAACTGCTGATAAAAGTGAAAGTCGTCAAATGCTGAACTATAAAGAGCCATGGAAACAAGGCTTTGTTTTGCCCCACTCTATAAAGCCTCAAACTCAACGCTATATCTGACACTTTGAATTGAAAAAGCTTCCTGGAATGAAAGCGAAAGGTCCTCAAACCTGGAAACAAAGTCCAGTGGATTTTTTTTTTTTACTTTTTTTGGAATTATCTTTAGTTATTAGGTACTTTTTGCAACTGTAGTAGTTAACCCTGAAAAGTCATTGGCTACTGTTATAAAAGTTATAGCAAAATACAGACACCTACTTAATGTATTTATTTTCTTTAGTTTATGATTTCTTTAAAAGGTATCTTGTATTGATGCTGATGACGGTTCTCAGTCATCGAGGTCCTAGTCATTCTGTAAAAATTCAAAAAAATATCCACTGGACTTGGTCCAGACTTGGTCCTTATATAGACTCAATATAAGACTCAAACTCACTGCAGATCCAGACATTTGAATTGAGAAAGCTTCCTGGAGAGGTGGAGAAACGTCTTCAAATCTTGGAAACCAAGTCCAGTGAATATTTTTTTGAATTTTTACAGAATATCTTGTATTGATATTGAGATGTAGAAAATGACGCAGGAATGAATTGGAAGTTTAGGACAAATTACCACCATAGATGAAGAGGTTTACAGGCTCATCTAAGATCTGACCCTGTGTGAGCAGAAACAAATCAAGCAGTTGAAATAAGCCTTCCCTCTGAATGGCTGGAGCTTGGTCACCCAGGGGAGTTCATATTAATTATGGTTTCTCAATCCAAAGATCTATGACAAACCCAGAACTCTATGGATATGCTTTATATCTAATGCATTGGGTCAAGAATCACAATCTGGGTCACAATCTCTTAATACAGGAGATTGATGGCATTAGACATAGAAAGATTCAATTTTAAAACAGATTGTTTTCCATATTTTTGTCTTGAACTAATTCAACTTTAGCAGAGATGTGCCAAAACTCAAGATTTATATTTCAAGATGTTATAATAAATTTAGCCATATAAGAAGGAAAAGCAGTCACTACTTTTAAAGGGTCTTTATGTGGCTTTTGTGTTACCTCTTTATATTTTTTTAACTAATTATTATGTTTTAACTGTTTGTTTGTTTTTTTCATTGTGAAGAAGGTAGGATAAGGAAATATATTGTATAGCACTGACAAAGGCCAAGTATAAGGATTTGTTTCTGTTTGTTTCCATGACCCTTTTGATAACATCTGTGTAAATAATTACACAGCAACAAAACATAAGGTATCATAAAATACTGTATCCATAACTAACCTTCCAAAAAATCCCGTTGTAAAGGCCTTGATGAGCCACTCAAGATCTTGTATCTTGAATGGAAACAGCACTAGATGTGTAGAATGATCTAAATCCACAGCACTTTCTGGGTACATGACACGATGAGTTGTTTTGGTCCCAACATCACTTTCATAGCCTTTGATAGGAGCGGCGTTCATTCTGAATGACATGGAGGGAACAGTTGTTACTAGTTTTACTCTTTAAGAGAGACAAATTACGAGCAAATTCCTTTTGCTGAATATTTACCTCATAACAACATCTTGGAAATCTATCAGCGGTCCATAATGTGTTCCTTTTAAATTAACTGAATTTCCCACAACAGCACAAGTCCTGCAGCTGTCAGAACTGGGTTTTTTTAAATCAGCTACGGGTGGGAAAAGCTCAAACAGCTTTTGTACTGTTGCTCTGTAGTAAAAGAAGTCTCTTTGTTCCCCCTGTATGAGCTGGAAAACACAATTCGTTGTTAGCTTTTTTCTTTTCATGACCTTAAAGGAGAAGTGGTGGCCAACAATTTGCATACATTTCCCTTTGCATACATATTTTAAAAGTTGCATAAACACGTTACATGTTAAAAGTCCATCAATCACAAAAGCATCAGGTTATATACATCAAGTGTTTGTCTTGATAGTGTTTAGGTGTTCCTTCTTGAGCCTAAATAGGATTAAGCAATGAGGTGACATAAACAGGAATGTGTCATCTTCCACCAGTGCCATAGAACTACCAGAAAGCTAGACCTTAGTGAAGTTGGCTCCCCCACCTTCTTCAAATCAGACAACATTAGTGTCAAACGTTTGTGCTACGTTTGTGCAGCAAACATTTTCGTTTGTGCTGCTATCGTTCTAAAGGTCATCAAAGGTCAACCAGCCCCCCCACCTTATTCAAATCACACGAAATAGGTGTCAATTAACTCAGCTCCGTTTGCGCTAGTTTGTGCAGCAAAAATTTTCGTTTGTGCTGCTTTGGATTTGAAGATATAATGAATATGTAAAGGTCAAAAGGTCAACCAGCCCCCCCACCTCTGTCATGATGGGTTCACTAAAAGCGACCCAAGAATGCAGAACACCACTGACGGACACAGGGATGAAAGTTTAACAAGTTTATTATGCACAAGCACACAGAATATACAGGTTCTGGTTCGGGGCCTGGATACTGGTTCACCGGAGTCTGCGTGACAGACAGTTCAGTTAGCGTTGCCAACAGAGGTTTGATTTCCAGAGGATCACTGATTGTACCTTGAGGGTTCTTGAGGTTAGCATTGGGAGAGTCACTGTTGGATCTGGAGAGGAGTTCAACAGCAGAGTCCGTTTGCTGCTTCAGCGTCTCACGTCTATAATGAACAGACCTTGGTTTTGGGTTTTTCAGCTCTAGTCCAGAGCTGCTTGGAGGTTCTCTGAGATTCTTCAGGTTTGGCTCTGAGGGTCGGCTCGGCAGGTTAGCTCTTCCTGAGCTTACACAGAGGAGGCACAGGTTTCCTGGAAGACAGAGACAATAGTTAGAATCCAGGCTGGATTCAAAGTCATAAAGTTTCACTGAGGATCTAGGCTTAAGCGCTGACCAACTGGAACAACACTGCGGCGTTGAGGCAAGGTCTGAAGACAGCTTAAGTAGTGGATCCTCTGATGGTCTTGATGAGCTGCAGCTGTGCAGGAGGCTCCCTCAGAGGATCCACGGCGGACTCTGCTGGAGAAAGGTGGAATTTCTCCAGCTCCCAACAACCTCATTCAAAGTAGATCAATTGGTGTCAAACGTTTGTGCTGGTTTGTGCAGCATAAAATTTCGCTTGTGCTGCTATCGTTTTAAAGATATAAAGAAATATTTCTAGAGGTCATCAAAGGTCAACCAGCCCCCCCACCTTATTCAAATCAGACGAAATAGGTGTCAATTAACTCAGCTCTGTTTGTGCTGGTTTGTGCAGCAAAAATTTTCGTTTGTGCTGCTTTGGATTTGAAGATATAATGAATATGTAAAGGTCAAAAGGTCAACCAGCCCCCCCACCTCATTCAAAGTAGATCAATTGGTGTCAAACGTTTGTGCTACGTTTGTGCTGGTTTGTGCAGCAAAAATTTTCGCTTGTGCTGCTATCGTTTTAAAGATATAAAGAAATATTTCTAGAGGTCATCAAAGGTCAACCAGCCCCCCCACCTTATTCAAATCAGACAAAATAGGTGTCAATTAGAGACTGACACTGGAGTGGATTTTCACTCCTGTCCTGTCCCACTCCCACAGAAAAAAATGGTGTCCCGTCCCGATCCCGGGCCAGAGTAGAAATCTAAATCCTGTCCCGTCCCACTCCTGGTGAAATTACTCCCACTCCCATCCCGCTCCCATTCAGAATGACTCCCGCTCCTGAACCACTCCCATTCTTGTTGTCTTTGAGCGTGGGTGAAAAACTCAGAGCGGAAGTTACTATTGGTTTGCTCCCGCTCCCGTCTGCTCCCGTTAATGTTTAATCCTGTACCGTCCCAATCCCGTGATCGTTACTAATACTGACTCCCATCCCACGGGAATCCCACAGGAATCCCGTGACCCGCGGGATTCCCGAAAAAATGTCAGTCTCTAGTGTCAATTAACTCAGCTCTGTTTGTGCTGGTTTGTGCAGCAAAAATTGTCGTTTGTGCTGCTTTGGATTTGAAGATTTGAAGAAAGTGGGGGGGCTGGTTGACCTTTGATGACCTCTAGAAACATCTCTTTATATCTTTAAAATGAAAGCGGCACAAATGAAAATTTTTGCTGCACAAACCAGCACAAACGTAGCACAAATGTTTGACACTAATTTTGTCTGATTTGAATAAGGTGGGGGGGGGGGGCAACTTCACTCAGGTGAAAGCTAGTCCCTCAAAAGTGACAGCTGGGGTGTTCTAAGACCAACCTATATTCATTAAATAAACAGATCTACAGCAACTCCTCCTATCAAAGCATAATGACAATATAGAAAAATAATTTTTCTGACAAATGTAAACAGGGAGACATCATCAAGGTAAGAACCAATCACTTGAGCTATTTATAAGGTCTTCAAACTTCGGCAGGTTCTAAGTTTAACAAACAACATGTCAAAAATGATCTAGAATGGTATTGATAGCAAAATGGGGAATTGGCACCCACTGAGCAGAGAATTTATTCATCGCACACTGACTGTAGCACATCGACGAAGCAGACAGAAGATGTTCTATCATTGTCTCCCTTTTATCTCATCTTTCTTTCATCTTTTCTCCTTTTTCCTGTTTTTCCTTTCCTGTTCTACTTACATTGCAGTGTCCATATAATCTGTAATACTCCCTGCATGAATTTTAATAAAGCTATTTATATGCATAAATCAAGTGGAACACTATGGCGATAGCCGTACTGCTCCACTTGTGCAAGATAAATCTGTTGGGCTCTTTTTTGGCATCAAAACAATTATTTTTATTGCCACATGGCCATGCAGGACACTGTTAAAAAAAATACCATTGCTATCACTACAATCGATATTAATAAGAACATTTACTCACATCTCTCGACTTAAGAGGCCAAATCTAAACACCTCGTCAGCTTTAGCTTTAACTTCAGCAAACATCAATATTCTTACTCTATTCCAAGCACTGTTGTAGTGTGTTCACACCAAACGCATTTGAACTGAGGCATTTTGGGGTCAGGAGTTTTGGATGCACATTTTAGCACATTTTTAACATGACAATAAACCTCCAAACATAATCTATGCTCTCAGTTGTTTATGATCCTACTGAAATATTTCGTTCTTGTTCCAGCTGTTTTCTGAAAGTTAACATAAATGTGCAAGTAAAATTAAATAATTTCCACTTTTTAGTTAAAGCTTAAGTGTGTAATTTTCAGCGACATCTAACGTCCAGACTGCAGACCGCAGCAACATGAACATCTCCCTCCCACCGCTTCTCCCCCCCAACAGTACGGCGAGCGTTACGGGAAAAAATGTCTTCCACGACGTGTGTATAGGATTAATTACCTGTCCAACAGAAAACTGGCAACTTGAGCGTCACTTTGAAAACCTTTTTCCTCCATCAGTGACTTCCATCGTGTAAATGCCGTGCCAATGTTGATCCGTGTTTTTTGCCGTTTCTTGTCACGCTTGCATTTATTCTCGTTGTGTTTCCGCTTCTTAAATGACGGGGTTTCGGTGTCCGCCGCTTTTCGTTGTGATACAGAGTAGGCATGATCCTCCATTCGTCTGATGTTTGGCCACACAGTGCCAAACAGTTTGCAAAGTCACTCACGCCTGCCGCCTTGTTCACCTGTCTTGTTACTGATGCACCGTATACCTGCTTCTTCTTCTTCTTTGGTTTCAGGCAGACTAAACGCTTCTCAGGCATAATACTGCCATCTATTGTTCAGTACCATCTCAGTTCATCTCTCTCAACTTGCCATAGTTACTTTCGAGCGTAATGGGCGATCTCGCAATCGCTAGTTTGTTGGCTCTGCGCTGCCGTAGCGCAAAGATGTCTGCCTCCATGGCTGCGAGAGCCGCTCCTATGTAATTATAAATAACGAATTCTAAGGCAACGCAAATATTAAGGTTAAGAGGCTGAGCTCGTAGATGATGATTAATAACATAGTTATGTATAATATATTACATTTCTGACTGTATATCCCTGTAATTATTACACACTGTAGCTTTAATGTTAGTATTTATAAACGGTTTTGATACAGTTCAGTAAGAAAATAGTTAAGTGCAACCAGACTGAGCTACTTGCATATGAATTTTTAAAGTCGTAGGGAAACGGCTGTTCCAACTGCTGCATTTCCGAATTCTCCTGAGTGGTGCACGACTTTACTTGAGTGAATAAAGTGAATGTGATTGGTTGTTTATCGAGAAGGCGGGATTGTTGTGGCAGAAGGTTCGCAAGCAAGTTTGATTGTGGCCGGTTTCTCAGAAGCATCTTGCTAACCAGATTGCAACCTAGTGCTAGTAGGTTCCCAATGGGAAATTCCATTAGGACCATGTTGCACTAAATTGGTGACTTAGCAACGACACTGTCAAGGAACGCTATGGACAGCGGAAACATGCAAGAGGAGAAGAGTTTTGTGTCGGAGGTCGTGGATGAGTCTCCTCCGTCAAACATTTATGTTTAGAGGAGGAAAGCGGGGACAAAGTTGTTGTGGAAGAGGACACCACCGCAGCAGAAGCTTGATTTGGTATAGAAGGCTTACAGCCATACATGTTTGAGCCCTTGCCTCGCAACACTGCCAGTTCTGTTAGCTCTACGCCTGCTGAAGACACAGACGTCCATCCCTGTGAACACTGGGACGGAACAAACTGTTAAAGCAAATGGTTCTCATTTCTTATTTCAACCGTTGCGTATATTAGCTGCGACATATGAATCAAGATGCTATGACCGAAAAAATTTGATTTACAGATGACTGTTGAAATATGATTGGCCGAATTTAGGTGTTCAAGCTGACGTATAACTAACTGACCTGCATAAGATAACGAAGAAAAAAAGTTTTTTAATATATTTTTTAAAAAATTTTGGAGAATATCATCTGATAAAGAATACATTTATATATGTGTTTAATCCAGAATTATTTGACATTTAAATATTATTTCCCCACAACTTAAAAAAAAGGCCCTATAACAACACTATGCATTCTGATATTGCAGTTTACCTTCCACCAATTGAAAGCATCCTCAGAGAGGGTGGTATTCACAGACAAAAATGGTTCCTCAAGTCCCCTTAGGCGATGAAGGGCCAACAGGTTATCCTCAGACAAACATTTTTCACAAGCACACAAGCTTTGACTTTGAAGCTGCAGCTGAAGCCAGTCAGTGAAGTCTGACTTTAGAAACACAGCGAGGGCAGTCAGAGCCAGTAGATAAATCAACAGCTTCAGCTTGAATGTCCTGGATAGGTGAGTGTCGTAATGGAAAATTATGTCAGTGTGGAAAGAGTGTTATATAAAAAACACATTTTAAACAGTTTTTTTTTAAACACCAGGTGTGTACTTTTAATTATGATTGGTAAAGATAGCATTTTATTTTAGAATGGTCAAAAAATGTCTTACCTGATGAAAGAGTACATGTTTTGTGGCTCCTGTCATTTTTTTACAAACCTTCCGTAATTTTCTCTGGAAGCCGTTTATTTGACTTCCATAAAAAGGGATTCTTGTAAACTCACAGATCAGGAGGTTTATGGTTATGAAAAGTGGAATGACTCTTGCAGGAGGAGATATAAAGGTGTGGTTTGTTCAATATGTTAACTCAGCAGATAGAGAGAGAGAGAGAGAGAGAGAGAGAGAGAGAGAGAGAGAGAGAGAGAGAGAGAGAGAGAGAGAGAGAGAGAGAGAGAGAGAGAGAGAGAGAGCCTATGGAAATAAAGTATCACGTTTCTGTCAACAAAGTCTTCTTGGTTCATATTCATCTCTATAATGTAAAAAACTGATTATCTTAGTGATATTTATTGATATGAAGTCCATTCTAGTATCAATTATATTCTGAAAAGTGGTTTATATGTTTTAGTCCCAATCACCAATAATGTTATGTAAATCTTCCTTTTTTTACATTTTGATACTGTACATTTAATCTTTGTTACTATTGTGTTCTGTTTTGTATGATTTTTACTGTGTTATGAATATAAATCCGAACAATGCAGGGCCATGCAGAGACCATGAAAGGGGAAGGTGCTCGAGGTAAACAAGAAGGGAACATAGAACCAGAGAGTAAAGGAGTGTTAGCTAGAATTTCCCAAAGCTTCATCATTTTTACTATGATGTATTACAGTTAAGAAGCCAGAAGAGATATAATTAAATCAAATCTAGAGAAAACTGTTATATAGCATACACCACTAGCAGTGGCGGCTGGTGAAAAATGTTTTTGGTGGGGCTAAAATAGCCTAGTGTATGTCTCCAACTAATCCGGAATAAGAATTCAAATAAACAATTGGACAATACATACAATTTAACAGTAATGATTTAATTTACTATATAATAACAGTAACAGTGATGATTTGGGTCACTGTGACGGGGTTCTTTGGCCTCCAAGAATCCAGGCACAGTCGGGTTACCGGTGTTGGTGATTTATTGAGCTCAAAAACTCAAAACAGGGTGCAAAAGAAACTAAACATATACAAGATACTCTGGGCCTCAGCCTCCCTCCAGTTACCAGCAATGAAACAAAGAAACAGAAAACAAAAATTGCCGCTTTTCTTCCCACAGCCCTCATTAAATAGTTTAAGCCCCTCCCCTCAGGCTCTCTTATTTCTGATTTCTTCTCATAAATCAGTTTTGTCCATCAGTGGCGGCTGGTGAAAAATATTTTTGGTGGGGCTGATATAGCCTAGTGTATGTCTCCAACTAATCCGGAATAAGAATTCAAATAAACAATTGGACAATACATACAATTTGACAGTAATGATTTAATTTACTATATAATACCAGTAACAGTGATGATTTGGGTCACTGTGACGGGGTTCTTTGGCCTCCAAGAATCCAGGCACAGTCGGGTTACCGGTGTTGGTGATTTATTGAGCTCAAAAACTCAAAACAGGGTGCAAAAGAAACTAAACATGTACAAGATCCTCTGGGCCTCAGCCTCCCTCCAGTTACCAGCAATGTAACAAAGAAACAGAAAACAAAAATTGCCGCTTTTCTTCCCACAGCCCTCATTAAATAGTTTAAGCCCCTCACCTCAGGCTCTCTTATTTCTGATTTCTTCTCATAAATCAGTTTTGTCCATATATTACCTCCACAAACAATTGATGTACAAAAACAAATAATTTTTACAACTTAATTCTTTTACACAGATTCATTGACTTATTCAATTACACCAAACTGGGTTTGAACCCAGCAAAGACGCAGCCAGACTGAAGATGACAAGTCCCCATAGCATAAACACGTACACACCCACAGCCACACACACACACACACACACACACACACACACACACACACACACACACACACACACACACACACACACACACACACACACACACACTGAAATATTAAGTGTGCACCCTCAATATGCCAGCAGGTAACCAGGAACAGCTTGTGTGTTTTAAGTTAATGGAGCTACTGGGCTCAGCTCGAGTGTATTGGTCCTCACAAACACAGTATAACAGGAATGTGTGTGTGGCGCACAAAGTTACAGGATGTGGATTCGTCACAGTCACAATAACCATGACATGAAATGTTCATATCCTACAACAGGGATGTTCTTCTGGCAAATGGGTAGATAAATAAGGATCTCACCGAATTTGGTGGAAGCTGCATCTCGTTCATTACATTCGCCATCTTCCCTCTAATTGTCTGCACCTGCGCTTGGGTGCAGAAGCCTGTTAAAGTGCAGTATTTTCAGCGCCCCAAGACCATAAAGTTCCGAGACGCTGATTGGCCATTAAATTCACCTAGCAATAGTACATGATTGACAGATTCTCTGCAAATATGGGGCTGTCTGATCAGCGCCCCCAGAACAGAGACGGTAGGAGTCTGTCTGTGGAAATCCACAAATTAATGACAGTAGGTAGGGAAATGTAGTTTATATAATTTGTTTTGCTTATAGGTACACAGTCTAGAGAGTAAAACTGACATTTATGAGTTAATTTCTAAAAATATATTTTACGTTTCTCTCTTCTTATCAGGGAGGGCGGTGCCCCAGCGCCCCCTATGGGCCGGCCGCCACTGACCACTAGTATATTATTGCAGTCTTTCATTATAGGAAGCCAGAGGTCGGTAATCCCGGTCTAGAAAGTAAAAACCTTGCACAGAGATTAGTTCCAACCATTTAAAATTCAGCTCTACAACCACTGACCTCTATTTATTCACTGGATCGCTGATTGCCCGTTGGTAGTAAGAGGTTGAAGTGAAGCCGCCGGCCACCATATTGGTACTCCCTAGTTTGACCGGTCACAATGTAAACAATATGTGCGCTACAGCATAGAACAAAGATGATGTTGTCATATTCAGGGAAACTTAAGACTTTTAAAACAAAGATAAATTCATTACTTTGACATAGATCTGCTGTTTCATTTTGTTAAAGGGGTCATAGAGTGATTCTATAGGCTATTCCATGCTGGTCCTTAAAGGAATAGTACACCCAAAACATGATTAGCCTTCATTTTCTACTCACCTCCATGCTGAACAACACTCTGGAGTACTTTTTTGATATCTCAAATGCATCTGGAAATCTGGGAGGCTTCTTGCTGTCTGCTGACATTCAAATAATGGAGGTCCATGGCGCCCGAGACAGAAAGGTCCATAAAAGTCCACAAAAACGTGTCAATATTCCTCCATACTGCTCGTCCAATGTAATCCAAGTGTCCTGAGTGGGTAGCATCCAGAATTTACTCGAAACGAAGTCATTTAGAATGTTTTTAGAGCATAAACAGTAGTGTATAGGATTTCCTAATAGCGCCCCCATGCGCGCTCACGATTCTACGGAAGCCGGCAGACCAAACCAGCGCATTCAGCTCGGCAAAGAACTCATGCTCTTCCTCAACACTGAAGTCCTCAGACATTTTTCTTTCGTTGTTTCTTTCTTTGCACAGGTAAACAGCACATTTCTTCTTCTACGCTTGCATTATCGGCAGACCAGACGCTGAATGCGCACTTTCTTCCGGTTTGGTCTGCCGGCTTCCGTAGAATCGTGAGCGCGCATGGGGGCGCTATTAGGAAATCCTATACACTACTGTTTATGCTCTAAAAACATTCTAAATGACTTCGTTTCGAGTAAATTCTGGATGCTACCCACTCAGGACACTTGGATTACATTGGACGAGCAGTATGGAGGAATATTGACACGTTTTTGTGGACTTTTATGGACCTTTCTGTCTCGGGCGCCATGGACCTCCATTATTTGAATGTCAGCAGACAGCAAGAAGCCTCCCAGATCTCCAGATGCATTTGAGATATCAAAAAAGTACTCCAGAGTGTTGTTCAGCATGGAGGTGAGTAGAAAATGAAGGCTAATCATGTTTTGGGTGTACTATTCCTTTAAGGTATCTGAATAGGGTGTGTAACATTGGTTGGGGTGAAAATGGCATATTTGCTGTTCTATGAGCCCTAATGCAAGCCTGGTTAAAAGCTTTGAAAGGACAAGTTTCCTTCCTTTTATGGTATGATCATTAATATTTAGATGAGCTGTGCGCTGATTGGTTGGTTTACAACGAGCAAAGCTGCTGAGCAAAGACGCATCATAGAAACAGGCACTCACTCACTGAAAAATCAAATTGTTGATATGGTAGGGTGACCAGACGTCCTCTTTTTCCCGGACATGTCCTACTTTTCGTACCTAAAAAAAATTCTGGGGGCAATTTCAAAATCGTCCAGGATTTTGGTTGACTACAGTACAGCATGTAGTCGAAACACCCCAGGCACTCGCACCAAGCCGTCAGTCCGGGGCTGATCCAGGAACCCGTCAGACGGGGGAGGGGACCCAGCAGAGGAGGGAGCAACCAAACCTGACCCAGTGACTGTTGGGATCTTTTGATAGACAAACATAATCCATGCCTGTCAAGTCTTCGGATCCTTGGGAAGACTGTGAAAATGTTCCCCTTTCTCCATGCAGCCTGGAACCAGGGCGGATTTACCATTAGGCAAAACTAGGCAGTTGCCTAGGGCCCAGAGTTCCTGGGGGGGGCCCTAAAACTCCTTTTACATGTGTGGTTAATTCAGCTATTACTTATTTGTGCACATTAATTATGTTTTTGACAAAAATCCTTTCGCTAAAATGCCATTAGAATGCTTATAATATTAAGTGTGTCTTGGGGCCCCCCTACAGTGTCCACTACATTGGTTCAGTCCATTTGCTGTGCATGGGCAGAAAGGTCCAAACACACGGCAGCAAACTATTTGAAAACAAACGGCGCAAAGAGACGAGACGAGCAGAGCGGGGGAGAAGAGAAAAGAAAGGAAAGGAAAGAAAGATGAAAAGAAGTTACCGTAGCGGTGCTGAAAAGAGGAGAAAGAAGAATGAGGGTAGGAAGCTGCTTTCAAAGTTAACAAAAATGACTGAGTTCGGCTTCATCACTGCGGCAGCGGCGAGCAGCAACAGCAGTAACCTGCCGCAAACAGCTGAAAACTCAGCGGCTGGTCTGGCGCCTGTTGAGGAGGATCCATCGTGTGGAGTTGAACAACTAGTGAGTATTAAGCCGTCGAAGGGGACATTCCCCCTATATTGATAAGTATTTATTTACCTTATTGAAAATGGGTCAT